TGAGACAGATATGAGGATTAAATAAGATAGATGTAAATAGTCACATGGGTGTCTCTTAAATAGTGGCTGTTATTTTCCCCTGTATTCTCAGCCTTCAGTTTTCTAAAATAGATTTGTGCTATTTTTAACCCATTGGATTTGTCCCTACTGTTATTAACCTAGATTTTTATCCTCTCCACTCAAATAGTTATTGACTGAATGAATCAACTTGTTAGACAGAAATGGTTGTCTTACCCATGTCAGAGCACTTTATGTAATCCATGTCAAAACCTATTCATCGTGTTTCAGCAAGGACTTTTGGACACTGTGTGCTTCATGTGTAGAAAATCAAGTCTAGAGGCCTTAGGCATATTTAACCTAGACTTTAGTGAAGGGTCCCAGGCCTCAGCTCTTCTGTTGAAACAGAATAAAATCTTGTGTCCCTGGTATTACTTAGTGAATCTGCCCAGCATCAGCCATTCCACACTGAGCAGAAAGCAAGAAGCATAACATGCCGTTCTGATTCAACACTTCCTCATTGGTTGAGTTGAAACAGCGGGCCTCAGAGATCCTGAGATCCTTGCTGCTTCCTCTAGGGCCCCAATCTTATTACTCATACGTGGCAGACGTGTTTCTCACAACAGCCCCCACCTGGTTGGTCTCTTCCGGCCTGAAGCTCATTACAAAAGAGAGATTTGAATTTCCCTCCCTGAAGCAGAGCCAGAACCCTCATTATCCTCATTCTTTGTGGGTGGGGGGCTGTGGACTCCCCACCTCATGTCGGAAGGGTCATGGTTCCTGGTCATCACCCTCCAGCACAGCGCCTTGCTCCGTATGATGGTTTGGCCACTGGCTGAGGGAGAGGGTGGCCTCAGGTGGACCACCGTTCTCTTCAGAGTTCTCTCACCTTTGCTGCCACACAGGTGTTGTCTCAGGAATTAGAATGTAGAGCTCTGTCTTGGGCTTCCCTGGTAGTTCAGCTGGTAAAGAATCCACCTGCCATGCAGGAGACCCTGGTTCAATCCCTGGGTTGGGAAGATCCCCTGGAGAAGGGAATGGCTACCCACTCCAGTATTCTGGCCTGGAGAATTCCATGTACTGTATAGTCCGTGGGGTCGCAAAGAGTCAGACACGACTGAGCGACTTTCACTCACTCTCTTTGCCAGAAACGGTTTTTTCCTGAATTCCTTGTGGGATGGAAGCATTGATACTGAAAACCTAAAGGGTCCCAAATCTTTTTTCTGAAAGGTGCCTCCTGCTCCCATGGGAGTGTTTTTTAATTTCACTCTGTGACCCCTCATGGTCATAGAATTACCATTATGATTAGCAGTCATAGAGATGCCACTTTGAGGGGCTTACTGGTGGGCCAGTGGTTAGGACTCTGTGTTCTCACTGCCGGGGGTGCAGGTTCAATCCCTGTCAAGGAATTAAGATCCCACAAACAGCAAGGTGTGGCCAAAAAAAGGAGAGAGAGAGATACTACTTTGATAGAAATAGCAAGGGGAGGAGTTTGACAGCTGCATGTGAAAACAACTCTTCCATCACACTTAGTTACAGCAAGCTTCATATACGTTTAATTGATGAACAGAGCATGGACTTTGGGGTTCAGACCTGGATTTGAATCTTGGAGGATTTATGCAGCAGGTCTTTATGGCTTCTAGGTACTTGTGAACAGAAATCCTTACAATAAAGAATTTTTGTATCTGATATATTGTATCATTTTTTTCTTCTGTCAACAGCCCTGTGAGGTAGAGGCATTGTTAGCCCCGTTTTATGGATAAACTCTGGGAGTTGGTGAGGGACAGGGAGGCCTGGCGTGCTGTAGTCCATGGGGTTGCAGAGTCGGACACAACTGAGCAACTGAACTGATTGATAAGGAAACTGAGGTTCAGAGGAACCGAGTGACTTGTTGGGAAGAGAGTAAATAACTTGCCCAAAGTCACACAGCTATTAAGTGGGGGAGCTGAGAGTCAAATCTGGGTCTCTTGACTCAAAATCCCACACTCTTTATTATGTAAAGCTCCCTTGGGAAAGACAAGGAGCTTCACTGTTCACTGCGCTTATTTCCCATTTTAATTAGGAGACTTTGCCTGTGTCCCCGCAGGATAGTCTTACCTCCACAAGGCAGGACAAAGCTAATTGGAACAGTAGGAGACCACTTTTGCTTGCGAGCGCTCTGTTCGGGGCAGAGCTCCTGCCTGTCTGTACCTGGCGTGCAGGCAGCGAGGCGCTTCAGGGGCACTTTCTTTACCCACAGTCTCGGGCCACAGTGGCCCGAGGCTCCAGGGGCTGCCTGGCTCACCTGTTCCCCCACGTGAACGAGCCCATAATCTGGAGACCCGCACCTGGCCCTCCTGCTGCTTGTGCTTAGGAATTGCTTACTTCTAGTGCTTAACAATGAGACGCTATGGAGGGAACCTAGATTTCATTGCCTTCCGGGTTCTGGACGTCACATGTGCAGCACCTCCGATCTTTCAGCTCTGTATCATGCTGAGAGAGAGCTAGAGTGCAGGGTGAAGGCAGGGAGCTGGCCTTGATGGTGAAGGTGTGTTGACTTCTGACCTAGCCTTGTGGCTATTCTGTTAGGCCGGCAGTCGCGTCCCCATTTTCCTGGAGGGGGAGTTCCTTTCTCAGTCACCTGGCCTGTTTGATGCCAAAACACATGTTCTTTCTGCCCCATTGACCAGCCCTGGTGATCTTCCGTCTCAGGCTTCCTTGTTCTTTATCCCTACTTCAGTGTGGAGGTAGGGTCTGGGGTGGTACTGTGTGGGCATGTCACGTCAGCTGCTACCATACCAGAAGGGTAATGAGGAATGAATCACCCAGCAGCTGCCTTGGGGACTCCTGAGGTCTTATCTTGACCTTAGTTGAACAGAGCTAAGAAGGTATTGGCCGCAGGTGTAGGCTCTCCCAGTGGGAGACAGCGTGGCTGGGGGGACAGATGCTGAATCCGCAGCCCAATCCCTGGGATTTAGTCTCCCCTTTGCCATTTGCTCTCTGTGGAACTCTGAACAAGTCACGACATCCCTTTGAGCCTCAGCTTCTTCTTGTGAAAGTGTTCTGCAAGATGAGTGTATTTCTCAGTGTTGTCTTGAAACTCAGATTCCCAGAGGAGAAAAAAAATGGATGCTCTAAAACCTCTTTGTGGTAGAAAGGGGCTAGTTCTGCCCCCAGATCCCAGTGTCATGAAGACAGTCTGCTCTCTTGTTTGTTCCTTCCTCCAGGAAGGTAAGAAAGGGGCTCCAGCCTGGCTTCCTGCAGTGCCCAGCTTGCAGCTGGTACACAGCTGGTGCTGGGCGAGTCTGTACCTAGAAGAGCCGCCCCTGTGAGCTCCTGGTATCGAACTCTTGCCTGCCGCTTGCTTGTGCAGGAGTTAAGCACTGTCATTCCTGGAGGAATCGAGGGGAGAGTTTATCCAGCAGCTGGGTTTTTCAGCTTAACCTTTCCTGGGCTGTGTCCCAGCTACTGTGGAATTGGAAGTAGCAAAACGTCTCACTGGTGAGGTCAGGAAGTGAGGGGTGGGGTCAGACGAGGCCATGTGGCTGGTGGAAAGCAGAGCCGTCTTCCCAGGGCCTTGGGATGATTCAGGACTCAGACTGGGTGGGCAGGCACCTCCGGGTGCCTGTGCTGCTCTGCCCCTCCTTGGGAGGGAGACCGGGAAGTGTTGTTTATTGAACACAGGCCACAGTAAACCTCATGGGCTTAATACTTTAAAGGAGGTATAAAGGGCCATGCTCATCAGTTGAGGGAAGGAGGCTCCAAGAATGGCTGTGGCTTGCCCTAAGACCCGAAGGGAGTACAGGGCAGAAAGAGGCTTTGGACAAGGTCTATTGAGTTTTGGGCTCTTTCCCGCATGTTCCCAGTTTGTTTGATCATTCTTTGGCAGTGGTGGGTCGTCGTTGCTGCGCGCAGGCTCTTTCTAGTGGCGGGGAGCGGGGCCTCCTCTTCATCACGGTGCCTGGGCTTCTCGTGGCGGCGGCTTCTCTTGTGGGCTCCATGGCTCATGGGATCCTCCCGGAGCAGGACTGGAACCCACCTTCCCTGCACTGGCAGGCGACTCCCAACCACTGGACCCCCAGGGAAGCCTCCCAGTTTTTACACAGGGTGAGAGGGGAGGGTCCATGTAGACTTGAGAAAACCTGGTGTGACCCTCCAGACCGGACGTGCTCCACTTGGAGTCATGGGGGGTTCGCGGTTTGCTTCTCTGTGTGAGGACAGCCTCCCTTTGCTCCTCCCCTGCAGCTTGGCTCTGCTGACCACGTGTCAGCGTGGCCTCTGTCCCCAGGTGAACTCCTTGGGGCCCTTCACTCTGCCCTCGTCACTGGGTGCTAAGTACGCCTGCCACTCACTGGCCTGGGCTGAGCAGCTGTTTTGGGGAGCAGCTCTGTCTCCTTAAGCGGGAGTGCCCCGGGCCTCGCTTAGAAAGGGCCCCACGTCCCCAGGAGGTTGTCCCCAGAGCAGATCGTCATTTCTTGAAGCCTGAAGACACTGAAAAGGCTTTGAATAAATTTATACTTAAGAGCAGCTATCAGCAGCTGCCTCAGATGCCATCGCCTTCCTGAAACCTGCCCTGAATGTGTCTAAAATTACTTGTTCCTGCCTTAGGAGGGAATGAACAAATGAATATTTATTAGGCAGCTGCTGAGGTGCGGGCTCTGCTTCAGGTTCTGCCCTGTGCTCTCACTGAGTCCTCACAGTGACCCGGTGGTCCCGCAGCCAGTCCTCTTCCCGGTAGGGAAGCGGAGAAGTCTAGCGATGCTCCCACGGTCTCATGACTGGGAAACGCTCAGGTCTTTACTACGTGACCAGGTGACCGTGCGTGTGGCAGCCAGACCTGGAGTTCCTGCTGCTGAGACCAGGCACACGAAGTGGGGACCCGCCCTTGGGGGTCCCCAGAGGGAAAGTCAAGTCCCGTCTTTCGTTGGTCACCGCCTTCCAGCCCACTCTGCTTTTCCCTCTTGCAGAGGAAGTCGAGCAAGGCAAAAGAAAAGAAGCAGAAGCGGCTGGAGGAGCGAGCAGCCATGGATGCTGTCTGTGCCAAAGTGGACGCCGCCAACAGGGTAACTCTCCCCTCTTTCCCAGTCCCTTCCTCCTGGAACCGCAGTTTGGTTTTTAATTTTACTTCTTTTGGTGCCACCCTGTGGCAGAACAGAATTACTACGCATCCACACCTCTACTGCCTTCTTGCTGAGGTGGGGTTGGGGTGAGGCTTTGGACCAGCCTGGCTGGGAGCCTGGGAGAGTTGTGAGGAGGACCAGGGATGGGCCCAGGCGTGCAGGGAGGTGTGGAGTCAAGAGAAAGTGGCTGCTTCTTTTTGTCGGTCTGTTTCCTTACCATTGGAAAAGAGTCTGGAAAAGTTTTTATTAGGGTTTTGCATCTTGGGAAGGAAGCCTCCCTAGTAAAATGTGGTATAGTTTTCTCATTCTTGCTTTCAGACATTTATTGCCTGCCTGTGAGGTGCCACAGGTTGTGCTATGCACTGGGCTTGCAGCAGCCTGGTTTTAGGGGCCATAGTCAGGGGAGGAGTAGCCATGATTCTGAGCACTCGGTGGGCCTGACTGGGAGCGGCTCAGCTTTCCCATGATCCAAGAGAGATTTGGGTTGCCCTTCCTGCCGCAGTTCAAGTTCCAGGTTTTGTTATTCTTTTAGTCCACTCAGTAAGCAGTCATACCTTTGAGGATGTGGCCCAGGGACATGATTTTCCATTTTGGATTTTGACCAGGGAAGGTTAGTTGAGGACGTCGTAGAAGGACACGAGTGGATCAGGGGCCCTCTCTTCTCTCTTGGGTCAGGTGGGCACTGAGCAGGTTTTATGCTCGGAGGCCAGTGTTTTACTATTAGGCAGTAAAGTTTCTTCTTCCCATGTCAAACGAAGCTACAACTTTGTTGGGCCTTCTTCCTACACGTGACTTCAGAGCTAAGACAGATGGCGTGTCTGTGTAAGGGCTGCTCCTGGGCTGGGGAGCTGTGCCTCCACGTGGGTCCACACAGGGTGGAGCCGGTGATGGCCAGGCCCACGTTTGTGCTACATACTCCTCTTTTCTTTCCTTCCACAGCTTGGAGACCCACTGGAGGCTTTCCCCGTGTTCAAGAAATATGATCGGAATGGGTGAGTGTTCAGCATTCCTACCTGTCCTGTCCTTGCTCTTTAGGAGTTCACCTTTCCAGAGTAGGCTTCCTCAGACTTCTTTTTTCTTTGTTAATGAAAAAGCAGAAACAATGGCTAGTATCCTGCTGATACAAACCCCTCCATTAGGGTAACAGAGGGATCTGCGGATGAGCAAAGGTGGCCTGATCTCAGACTGACGTCTATGTGGGACTTGCTGTGCTCTCCGACCGAGAACCACAGAGCGGAAACAAAGCTGAGAAATCATCTGGGCTGATTCCCTCATTTTAGGCAGAGAACCAAGACCCCGATGAGCTAAATGAGAGTCTGAGCTTCTGGAATTTCTCCCTGCCAGCTGAGGGGACTTTTCATTCTCAGTCCAGCACTCTTTCCCTGAGTATATAGTATAATGGGTAAAAGCCACTTAGGGCTTTGTGACCCTGGACAAATTACTTACCTTCTCTGTGTCTAAATTTTCGAAATAAGTACTTTCCCCACAGAGTCATCAGAAGGATTGGATGAAGTGTTAGTGCCTGGAACATACTAAAGGCTAAATCTGTGTGAGTTGTTATTACTACTATTCTCTTTACTAATCCAGTTCACTGCCGATTCTGGATTAAAGCCTCACTCCCCTTTTTGTTTCTTTGGTTTATAAGATAGGTACCAGAGATGCTGTTGGCTCAGGGAAAAACCAGGGCTATGATTTTACAGAATCATCACCATGGGTTTGAATCATAATGATGCTTCTTATTAACTATATTTGGTTAAGTCGACATACTCTTCAAGCCTTATTTTTTATCGGTTAAATGGAGTGATGATGCCAAACTTGCAAGGTTGTTTTACGGAGCACAGAGACTATATCTAGCACTGGAAGTAGGAGCTGGTGTCAGTATTTTAACGAATGAGATAAGACGATGTAAATGCATGAATTATGATGGAGAGACTCCAGTAGGTAATGCTACATTTGCCTTGTATGGCTGTGTCTGAGTTTCATAGTATCACGTTAATGTATTCTTCCTGTCTGTGATCAGATGCGTTACAACTCTTCTCGAAGCCGCATCATCATTCAGATTCCAGGAAGTCCTTTGACATAGTTTGGCTATGACAAACCTAGACAGTGCATTAAAAAGCAGAGAGTCAAAGGTTCATATAGTCAAAGCTATGATTTTTTCCAGTAGTCACGTACAAATGTGAGAGTTGGACCATAAAGAAGGCTGAGCACCAAAGGACTGATGCTTTGGAATTGTGGTGCTGGAGAAGACTCGAGTCCCTTGGACAGCAGAGATAAAACCACTCAATCCTAAAGGAGATCCACCCTGAATATTCATTGGAAGGACTGATGCTGAAGGTGAAACTCCAGTACTTAGGCCACCTGATGCTAAGAGCTGACTCACTGGAAAAGACCTTGATGCTGGGAAATATTGAAGGCAGGAGGAAAGGGGGGCAATGGAGATGAGATGGTTAGATAGCATCACTGACTCAGTGGATATAAATTTGAGCAAACTCTGGGAGATAGTGAAGGACAGAGGAACCTGGAGTGCTGCAGTCGTGAAGTTGCCAAGAATCAGACACGACTTAGCGACTGAACAAGAACAACAGAGATTCCTTACTGTGATCTCAGTGTTCCCGCCCCACGTTCTTACCACTTCCAGAAACATGGGCCAGCTCTGAAGCAGGCGTTGCCAGTTGACTCTGGGCTCATTTGGTGCTTGGAATTGTGTGTGATTTGTGTGGCTAAGACTGTACTTTCTTTTTTTTCTTTTTTTTTAAGACTGTACTTTCATGTACTTAAAGAAATCAGTTGAGTGGAGAATCTATACTCTCCAACCAGCCTTCAGAAAATGTATAGCTAAGACAGGTGCAGTGTTGTGTTGGGTCATTTCTGACCACTACCTGGTCAGTAGTACAAAGAAAGAAGACTCTTCAGAGCCAGGAGTCCTGTACTCACATGGCCGAGCACACATGTAGCTTATATAATGCGTTAGTCAGCAGAGGTGACGGTGGCTTCCAGGGGTGATGTCCTCCGAGGAGTCGAGTCAGTCCTTTCAGAATGTGGCGCTTCCTGGAGAATGTGATTTCACAGTTTGCCAAAGAGTTTAACTGTAATTTACTTAAGTCATTTACAAGTAAATAGCAGACTGAGGGACTCCGTTGGCAGTCTGGTGGTTGGGACTCGAAACTTCCACTGCTGTGGCCCGTGTTCAGGCCCTGGTCAGGGAACTAGGGTCCTGCAGGCTGCATGGCATGGCCAAAAACAAATAGATTGATACCTTAATGCCTCCTTCATTAGTTTAGGGAAACAGAACTTGGGGTGAACCTGAACCCTGATCCATTCTGTTTGATCAGCTGAGAGCACCCCTGTGTCCTCAGAGGAGGCAGCAGGCAGGACTCCTCAGGGGGATGGGGGCTGCCGTCTTCCTGAAGGGCCTGAGGTCATCCTGCCACTTTTGCAGGCGAGGTTGGGAGATAAGAACGAAGGGCTCCCATGGGTGCCCAGTGAGGACTGGATTCAGAAATGAAAGCAACAAGAAAAATGCCTCAGGGCAGGAACTAAGGGAACAGAGACGACTAGGGTGTTTATAACAAAGTACAGAAGAGCAGGCAGAGAGAGCAAAGAGGTAGCCGAGAGGGGCAGGAGTTGACACAGTGCTGTGTCTGATGACGGTGCAGGGGGGTGGCAGGAAGTGGGGCTTGTGGTCAGGATGGTGGTAGGTTGGTGATGACGGTCGTTAATCTCAGCCTGAACGGCTTCGTTCCTTCACAGGCATCTTCTGCAGTCATGTCCGGGCTCAGCTTTTACTGTAGATTAACTGAGACCAGGAGCACCTCGTCGTCAGGCTGTCCGGGCAGCGGGCAGTGCTGGGCCTGGCACTGGCTCCAGACGCCTCCTTTTCCTCTTCCAGGTTGAATGTCTCCATTGAATGTAAGCGAGTGTCCGGCCTGGAGCCGGCCACCGTGGACTGGGCCTTCGACCTGACCAAGACCAACATGCAGACCATGTAAGCTCACCTGGGTGGGAGGGGGCTGGCTGTGCTCTGCGAGTCCCTGTCCTGACGGCCGCTGTCTCCCAGGTATGAGCAGAGCGAGTGGGGCTGGAAGGACCGAGAGAAGCGCGAGGAGATGACGGATGACCGAGCCTGGTACCTCATCGCTTGGGAAAACCGATCGGTGCCCGTCGCCTTCTCTCACTTCCGGTTTGACGTGGAGTGCGGGGATGAAGTCCTGTACTGGTAGGGGCCATGGCGCGGGGGTGGGCGCCGGGGAGGAGGCAGAGGCCACGTGCGTGTCTGGGCCTGGGCCAGGCCTCACGGCCCCTGCAGGCTCACTCTGCTTTCCTCCCCCAGCTACGAGGTGCAGTTGGAGAGCAAGGTGCGGCGGAAAGGCCTGGGGAAATTCCTCATACAGATTCTGCAGCTTATGGCCAACAGGTAAGGAGGGTGTGTGTGTGTGTGAGTGAGTTCCTCATACAGATTCTGCAGCTCATGGCCAACAGGTGTGGGGTGTGTGTGTGTGTGTGTGCGTGCGGCTCTTGGGAGGAGCTGCCTCTGCCGTACGCCTGGGAGGGGGGTGGTGGGGACAAGGCTCACAGGAGTGTTCTGGAAGAAGGGTATCTAGAACCTCCCTGCCCTGCCATGACTCCACATTTGGTGCAGTGGGCTGAGGGCAGCAAGCACCCCTGAGTGCCTGTTCTGTGCGTCTCCACTGGGACGCAGAGAAGTCAGTCAGGAGGGGAGCAGCCTCATGTCCAAGGGCGGCACCACCCGAGATGGCAGAGCGGGGCTCAGGAGCACTCCCGACAGCAGGCAGAGGCACGAGAGAGCACGTGTGATTTAGCACCTGTTTCTCCTTCTGGAAGATTCTCTCTGCTTCCTTCTCAGCACACAGATGAAGAAAGTTATGTTAACAGTATTTAAGCACAATCATGGCGCCTACCAGTTCTTCAGAGAAGCACTGCAGTAAGGAGCTGGGCCCGGTGGGGGACCCCCGGGGCGGCGGCAGCTGCTGGCTCGTGTCTTTTTCCCTGTCCTGGCCCACCTTGTCCTGACACTGAGCTCCTGGGCCTGAGATCTAGGGGGCTGGGGCTGGGGGAGATGGTGTGGGCACGCCTCCGGCCTGGTCCCCTGCCCTGCTCCTGAGCCCTGACTCCTGGGGTGGAAGGCATCCGCCGCCCCCCACCGACCCTTTCCTCCTGCCTGCCTGCAGATTTGAAATCGATGACTCTTCCCCAAGCATGTCCGGCTGCTGTGGGGAGGACTGCTCCTATGAGATCCTGAGCCGGAGGACCAAGTTTGGGGACAGCCAGCACTCCCATTCGGGCGGGCACTGTGGCGGCTGCTGCCACTGAGTCCCAAGCTGGAGCGCGCTCTCCAAGGCCTGTCCTCTCCCCGGTCTCCCGCCGCTCTCCAGGCGGCCTCCTTAGCCCTGACCCCGGGGAGGGGTGGTCTGTCTGCCCCTCCTGCTTTCCCCTGGAAGGGCAGGCTGCCGGGAGGGGCAGTGAGGGGCCGGGCACCCAGCACATCCTTGCACAGTGGCTCCCTTCTCACGCGGCCCTCGGCCCTGAGCGTGGGGCTCCATGACCTCCCTGCCGCCGGATTCCTGACAAGCCCCCTCCCCGCCACACACAGCTGGACGAATGGAGCGTTTGTTCCCAGCTTCGTGAAAATCCTGGAGCCCTGGGTCAGGCTCTGTCTGGTTCCCAAAGAGGAATGGACTCGGCGTAGGCTTTTGTGCCAAGAGGCTTCAGAGTGACTCCCCGTTTGGTGGAGGGGCTGCTCGACGGAGACCCTTGGAAGGTCTTTTATGTCACAACTTGGGGAAGCAAGGGTGCTCTTCCTGGCTGTGCCTTTGTGGATTCGCAGTTAGAGTGGCGTTGTCCTGGGGACCAGCCAGCTCCAGGAGCCTGTGGTTGTCAGCGAGGTGCTGAGGGGCCAGGAAGCAGCAGCAGGGGGGCCTGTGCGGGGACCATGGCTTCTCTGGCTTCTGACCGGGCTGCATCCCGAGCTTCGCCCTGTGATCCCAAGGCGGTGACCCGAGGGTTTTGTTCATAGGAAAGAGTTGGAGCCTGGCCTGCTCGTCTCCATCCCCTCTCGCTGCTTCCCTCTGCCTCTTGCCTGCCCCCCACCCTGTTCTGGCTCTCAAGGGGGAAATAACATCAGGGAGCCCCTCGTCTTCCCCCTTATGGCCCCTCGTTCCTGCCATATTTAATGCTGTTTCCTCTCATATCTTGGTGCTGTTAGCTCTCTGAGGGTGGGTTTCCTTCCCCACCGCCACCCCCACCCCCACCCCCAGCCTTCGGAGAGCCCCCAGCCAGCAGCAGGCCTCCTGCCTGCACCCCCCAGCCTGGCCCCTGCTCCCTCAGGGAGGCCTGCCCTGGCCAGCAGCACAGGACGCGGCCCCACAGCTGCCCTCCCTGGTGGCAGGTGGGCGGGGGAGCCCTTTCCTCTCCTCTCGTGGGGTGGACAGGGCACAAGGTCAGAGCTCAGGCTACCCCTCATCCCCAGACCTTACTCCCCTTCCAGGGAAGAGAATGACCAAATCCTTATCCAGGAAAAAGCACCTGCCGCCTCCCCTGGGACAACTGGAGCTCTGCATTCCAGAGCATCCCAAAGGTCCTGCCTGCGGAGTGTTGATCCGAGGAGGTCGGTCAGTGCTTCTGACCTCAGTCAACTCACCCCAGTCCCTGCCCTGGCCCAGGCCGCCTGTGCTGGCCCGTCTCCCCGAGGCTTCTCCCCCAGGCTCCCACGTGTGCGGGGCCGGGGCACACAGCCTCCCTGCTGAGCACTCTGCAATGCTCTTGATTGCCCAGCGGTGGACGTGGCACTCCCTTGGAGAGGGCCCCGCACCTTCACACTGGAGCAAACCCACCTTTGGCCCACTCAGCTGGCTCCCAGGAGATTTTACCCAAAGGGGAGGGTTTTCATTGCTAGGAGGACATTAGAGGATTCCTTCCAAGAATCATGGGACAAAGGAAGCATATTTAGGAAGAGCTTTTCCTTTGATCCCTGCTGTCTGTCAAAGGACACAGAATGATAAATATTCATCATTTTAGATCATGGATTTCTGATAACCTCCCACTCAGGGCCCCAGAGGGACCCCAGTGTAAATCCCACATAAAGGGAGTGAAGTGTCCATGTTTCTTTCCCTTCACTGGATACCTGGCACTGAGCCCCACTGGTCAATGGACACTTCTTGTGGGCCCTGCTTGTCCAGCCGCCTCTGCCACCACCCAGAGGCTGCTGGGGATGCGGGGTGGGCAGGTTGGGCAGGGAGGCGCAGCCTGAGGCTTGTAGGTCACCCTGTTGCCATTGAGCCTGTTCAATTCTCAACCATCAGTCTCCATTTCGCCAAGCTCTTGGTTTTAAGAAGCAGCAGGTCTTGTACCAGGCTTTTTGGTTTGTTGTTTGGGGCATGTTAAAAAATAATTAATTTGACATTTGTTTTTTAGTTGTTTTCCACTCTGTTTCAGGTTATTTGCATTGATGTCAGATGTGTACATGACATGTGTGTGGTTCTTTTAACCCTTCCTGTTTTTTGTTTTTTTTAGAGGAAACTTTGGAGATAAAATGCCTTCTTGATATATATATATATTTTTTTTTTCTTTAGCAACTTGTTATCACTGGAATCAAAGGGAAAAGTGACTTCTTTGCGTTGGTTGTATTTGTGTGTCACAAATAAAAGACACTTTGTTCAGCTGCTGGGACGGCTTCCTGGTGCCGGGCTGCCTTGGCAGCAAGGGGCTCAGACCATCCAGCGTTGGATCTAAACCCTCGGGGCCCATAGCTGTGATGGCCCCATACCTCTTCCTGTGAAGGAAGACTCAGGCGAGGAAAACCTCGGCGTTTGAGGCAAGGAGCCAGACATGGAAACTGAGACCAGTGAATGCATATGTTTGTGCCACTTCTCAGAAGCCCAGGTCAGAGGTCTTCTCCTGAAGGGTGCCTGCTTTGCATGTTGGAGAGTCCCAGGCCAAGTGTTGGTGATACTTAACATCTGCAGGCAAACATAAATTCCAGAACATTTGTGTGGGAGTTGAATAGAAGAGTGTGTCGGTGTTTCTCAGACTTAACTGGGGTACTCAGAATATTCTTCATCTCTTGAAAAGATTCTGGCCCCCTCTTCTCAGGAAAGACAGAGGCCCAAAGGAAGGGTAACTCACGTCAGGCCTGACCGGCCAGGAGAGTTACGAGCTGGGGGAGGCTCAGGCCTCTTGAGCATGCCAGACGGAGCCATGCGGCTTCTCCCGGGCGGACTCCGGGCGGACTCCTGCCGCAGTGCGGCCCAGGGAGCAGGGGCAGGAAGTGGGCCGGCAGCCAGGGCTCAGCGCTTCCCATGGACGCTGAGGGCCAGCCCCCTCGTGTTGCTGCCGGCGGTCACCTCTGCCTGAAGGTGGAGAGGGTGGCCAGGATGGAGCCCTGAGCCCCCAGAGTCTTCGTGCTGTGGCAGGACAGTGATCTGAGGAAAAGAGCAGAGTCAGCAGCTGTCTTGTAGCTGCCACATGTGGCCTCAGCCCTGTGGGTGAGGGCACATCCAGGGACGGTGAGTGCAGCTCCCTTACCCTGGAGGCATGAAGGAAGGCACCCCAGCCCGTGGGGAAGGAGAGTATTTTAAATGCTGGAGCATCATTCGACAGCCTTCTCATGAGAAGGAGTTCCACTTCCACCACCCCACCCCCCACCCCCAAGTTCTTTGTTCCTTGAAAGTGAAAGTCGCTCAAGAGTCCATGGAATTCTCCAGGCCAGGATACTGGAGTGTGGGTAGACTTTCACTTCTCCAGGGGATCTTCCCAACCCAGGGATTGAACCCAGGGCTCCCACGTTGCAGGTGGATTTTTTTACCAGCTGAGCCACAAGGGAAACCCTTGTTCCTTGAAGGCTGTTGTAATCCCAGGCAGGAATTCCTTGGAGTCACTGTCCCCTTGCTGCAGAGTAAATGACCAGATCTAGAAGGAATGGAGGGGCCTCCCTTTGCTGCCACTGGCCTTGTCTGCCCTCCACACCACTTTCCTAAGTACCAGGCTCCCTCTTTTGTCCTCCGAGGCAGCTGCCCCCACCCCTGCCCCCATCTGCAGCTCAGACCTCATCCAAGTGGTACTGGCTGGAGTGCCCACCCCCCTCACTCCCACCACTTCAGTGAGCAGATAGAGCAAGAGGCACAGTTGCAGGACGAGAGGTCCTCAACTTCAGGCAGAGCCTGAGTGGTCTGAAAGTTTCCCCAGTGTGCGAAACCTGGTCACTGGATGGTTTCTACCACCAGGCTTTGAAAGTGGCTGACTCAAACATAGGCAGGTTTATTACTAGTTTTTTCTGCTTTTCCCTCTGCAAAAGTATTAACAGAGGTTGTCTCTCATGAGGTCAAGGGTCTAGGGCGATCGGGAAGATGCTGCAGAGGCACCTCAGAGACTGGACAGCCAGATGCCCTCGCACTGTTGCTTGGCGGCATGGGGAAGGAAACGCATTTGGTGATCCCCTGGGATGCCAGCGGCCACTCACCCTTGGTCTTCACATTGCCGAGGGCCCAGCAGGGTCTGCATCCGTCTGCAGTGCCCTGGTCCGTGGTCGTGCCTCTAGACAGGATGCTGTGGGCATGCAGGTCCTTGTGGGTGTCCACGTCATGTCTAATGATGGAGTTGTGGGTTGTCTTGGTTCTGGTGGACTCCCTGCCTGGCAAAGCCAATACCTGTTGGCCTGGCATCTTCTCTCAGGTCCTGGCCAGTAGGGGCGCCATCTCCTGAGAGAGGCCTGCCTTTTGTCCCATGCCGGGAGCTGCCTAGAAAGAGGGGACTGGAGCTGAGGTCAGTGTCAAGGCATGTCTGCCCTGCGGGTGCGGGCTCATCCCCAGCAGAGGTCTGGAGGAGGGCCTTAGGACAGAGCCAGAGCCAGCGGTGATGACCTGCCCTCCAGAGGAGGGGAAGCAGCCGTAGTCATGTCATGCTCAGAGGCCAGGGTCACGGATCCCAGGTTTCTCTCAGTGTCCCTGCAGGATCTTCTGCCAGAGCCCAGGATCCAAAGCCCACAGCCAGGTTAGCCCCCTCCGACCTGGACCCTCTGCCCAGAGTGGGGGCGCAGCACCCGCGGGGGCCCGCTTGCGGGGCACACACATTTCTGCATCGCTCGGGTCCTGCCTGTGCCATGGTGGACAAGGCGAAACCTGAACACCCGCACTTGGGGCTTTGGGGCTCCCTGCTCTGAGAAAATGAACGTCCACTACAGGCTGGCAGGGGAAGGGCCGCCCTGTGCGCAGGGTCGGACACCCCAGGTTTGGAGAGAAGAGATCCTACAAAGAGACCAGGCAAGAGGACTTGGAGCCGCTCGCAGAACAAGGTTGGGGCTGCGGCTATGAGCCAAAGTCTGACAGCTGACCTGGGGGTGCCTGCAGCCGCCATGGATCCCCAGGGGTGTGACCAGAGGCATAGCCTCAGCACGGGCTCGGATGCCCCCTACATGACAGAAGATTCAGTGTCTTGTATGTGACCTGGGCGGTCCTCAGCTTGCTGTTGACCTTCGAGTTGAGTGGGGCCTCTAGTATATTCTTGCCCGGAAAATCCCATGGACAGGGGAGCCAGGTGGGCTATAGTCAGCGGGGTTGCAAAGAGTCGGACACAGCTGAGCATGCATAGCAGCACAGCCCATGTGTATATGCTTAGAAGGTAATATACACATGGTGTGTGTGTGTGTGTGTGTGCAAACACACATTGGTGAGCCCGGTGCTCTGCCCAGGCCACACACGGCTTGTCGTGGAGGCTGTGGCACACACAGATCTCCCTGTTGTCCGAGGTGGGAGTGCTGCGCTCCGTGGGCTACTTGGACGAAAGGATGCTGCGCTTGCTCCAGGCTTCTTGCCCACATACGAGTCCTTCTGGCCAAGTCCATCATGATGTCCTAGGGAGCTGGGGAAGGAGGCCTTGGGTATGTTTGGGGGGGTCCTCTAGCCCAGCGGCCCTATCCCCTGGGGGGTCTCAGTTTACCCATCTGTACCATAGGGCAGGGGCGGTGGCAAGCAGACTTGGTGACCTGACCCGTGCCTGCACTGGTGTGGGGGACCTTCGCCAAGCCAGAGCCATCGCCATACACCACCTGACTCGTCACTCTTGGCCGCTGAGTGTGAGCGGCGCCCCCCCACAACCCACAGCCTCCTTTTGTCTTGGCAGCTGTACCTGTGCAGCTGCCTGCAAGGGGAGGGCCGCGCCCCTGCTCCGCCCCCATGTGGCTCCGCCCCCGACAGCTGCGTTTCCCCGGGGAGGGCCGCGCCCCTGCCCCGCCCCCGTGTGGCTCCGCCCCCGACAGCTGCGTCTTGGCCTGGCCCTGGGTGTCTGGTGCCTGGTGACAGCTGTGCCCCAGGGACCCTGCTTCATCCCTGTCCCACCCCCGCCCGGGGGCTCCTCGCTCCTTGTTGAGGACAACCCAGGCCAGAGTCGGCTCCTCCTACCCCTTTCCCCCCACCTTTTTTTAAATTAAAAATTTAAAAAAAAGATTGAAGTATAGCTGCTTTACAATGTGCCAACCTCTGCTGCACAACAGAGTGACTCAGTTACACACACACGTACATTCGTTTTCATACTCTTTTCCATTGTGTTTTATCACAGGATATTGAGTATAGTTCCCTGTGTTGTTGATTAGGGCCTTGCTAGTTATCCCTTCTAATCGCAGTAATTTGCATCTACCAACCTCGAGCTCCAGGTCCATCCCCTCCCTCTTGGCAGCCACAAGTGTGTTCTCTGTGTCTAGGAGTCTGCTTCTGTTTTGTGGATAGGTCCACGTGTCATATTTTAGATTCCACGTGGAAGTCACATCATATGGTATTTGTCTTTCTCATTCTAACTTCACTAGTATGATAATCTCTAGTTGCATCCATGTTGCTGCGAATGGTATTGCTTCATTTGTTTTTATGGCTGAGTCCTTTCTACCCTTTTTTGTGTGAAAACCCCCATTTTTGATGTCTGTGTGTGACCCCTGGCAGCCATAGAGATACCACTTTGATAGGAATAGTGAGGGGAGGAGTTTGACAGCTGCCTGTGAAAGCAGCACTTACATCACCCTTTGTAACAACAGGCGTCCTATCCATTGAGGTGATGTAGTGGAGGGACTCTGGGGCTCAGACCTGGATTTGAGTCTTGGAGGATTCATTCAGCAGGTATGAACTGAGCTCCTGCTGAGTGCTGGGTGTCCCTCGGCAGATGAAGCGGGTGTGACCACTCCTCTGATTCTGGGCCTGTACCGTCTGGTGGGAGTGGAGAGACAGGGCTGCTAGAAGACCTCTGAGAATCCTGCCCATGGGCTCTGTGAGCCTGAAAGTTATCTCACCTCTCTGTGCCTGCTTCCTCAGCAAAGAAGTAGGCACGCATTCCTTGCTGAATTATTGTAAAGATTAAATCCCCTCCCTCTCCTGGGACCTTCCTCCTTTGGGCAGTGGGTCCTTCCTGAGCTCTACAAGGGCCTCCTGCTGCTACCCCCACCCTAGGGAGACAGTCACCACAGGCCTGTAGAGAGGCTGCATCTGACCTCAGCTAGCGCCCTGGGGTGGGGGTCCCTTCACCCTATACCCCCGGTGCTCAGAGCCCAGCCCTCACTTGTGCCAGGAGGGGAGTTCAGGTCAGTAGGGTGACTGGAGCTGTGTGTATGTGGGGGGCAGGTGGCTGAGGGATTTATGCCTGCTGCCCCACAGGCCTGAGGTCTGACCTCCCCAGGACTCGCGGCTCTACTAGAGAGAGCAGTTGTCGGACAAGGGCCAGGCCTGGGGTGAGGTCACCCAGTGTGTCTCGAACCTGAGCCTGGCCAGTAGGGTCTGGAGTCAGCCCTGGGATGGGGCACCTGCGGTCTTCCCAGCCCACACATGACCATCAGGACTGGGGGCCCAGATGGGGACACATCTCAGGAGAAGGGACCAGCTCTTCCACCCACTCCCAAGGCTTGGGATCTATTCTTACTGCTCCATTCAGGGGAGGGGGTGGAGTGGAGGGACAGCTTGGGCCCTTGGATCAGAGCCAGGATTCAGGCTGGGCTCTCTCGGGCTCATCGCAATGCAGGAGAGATTCCCAGCAATCTGACTGGAGTGGGCAGTCCTGGGGAACGAGCTCCCCGTCCATGCAGACAGTGCGGTAGTTACCAGGGTGTCAGAGGAGATCCCTGCCTCCCAGAGAGTCTGTCACTCACAGGCAAACTTCCCTCACTGGGCCAGGGAGCTCCTCGGTGCTTGTTATTCTAATGGCAAAAGAAGTGCCCACAGGACTTCCAAGAGCTTCCCCTGCAGGGGCTGCAGGTTTGATCCCTGACGTGGGAACTAAGATCCTGCATGCTGCATGGTACGGCGGAAAAAAAAAGTGCCCAACGTGCAATCTTGGGAAAAGATTGCAGCAGAAAACGACCATTTCCCACCACTATCTAGAGTGTTGAACCACTGTTCAACCCTTGCGTGAACTAGTGTGAACCACTGTTCACAATTGCGTGTGTCCATCCAGACTTTTACTTATGCATATTCCTAACCCTAGGTATTTTTTCCTTTGTTTTAGAAAAACAAGACCTTGTCACACTTCATGTTTTCTTTGCTTCTCATTTGTTCTAAAACTTTTTAAAACTGAAGTATAATAGGTCTTGTAACCTAATATCAATATCAGCTTGTGCTGTACTGTGCTTAGTCACTCAGTCGTGTCTGAGTCTGCAACCCCCATGATCTGTAACCCACCAAGCATCTCTGTCCTTGGGGATTCTTCAGGCAAGAATACTGGAGTGGGTTGCTGAAGTGTAACAGCTGAGATATTTTAAATCCTAAAAGATGATGCTGTGAAAGTGCTGTACTCAATATACCAGCAAATTTGGAAAACTCAGCAGTGGCTACAGGACTGGGAAAGGTCAGTTTTCATTCCAATCCCAAAGAAAGGCAATGCCAAAGAATGTTCAAACTACTGTACATTTGCACTCATTTCAAATGCTAGCAAAGTAATGCTCAAAATTCTCCAATCCAGGCTTCAACAGTACATGAACCATGAACTTCCAGATGTTCCAGCTGGATTTAGAAAAGGCAAAGGAACCAGAGATCAAATTGCCAACATCCGTTGGATCATAGAAAAAGCAAGAGAATTCCAGAAAAACATCTGCTTCATTGACTACACTGAAGCCTTTGACTGTGTGGATTACAACAAACTGTGGAAATTCTTTAAGAGATGAGAATACCAGACCACTTTACCTGTCTCCTGAGAAATCTGTATGCAGGTCAAGAAGTAACAGAACTGGACATGGAACAATAGACTGGTTCCAAATTGGGAAAGGAGTATGTCAGGGCTGTATATTGTTACTCTGCTTATTTAACTTACATGCAGAGTACATCATGCAAAATGCCGGGCTGGATGAAGCGCAATTTGGAATCAAGATTGCTGGGAGAAATATCAATAACCTCAGGTATGCAGATGACACCACCCTTATGCAGAAAGTGAAGAGGAACTAAAGAGCCTCTTGATGAAAGTGAAAGAGGAGAGTGAAAAAGCTGGCTTAAAACTCAACATTCATAAAACTAAGATCATGGCATCTAGTCCCATCACTTCATAGCAAATAGATGGGGAAACAATGGAAATAATGACAGACTTTATTTTCTTGGGCTCTAAAATCTCTGCGGATGGTGACTGCAGCCATGAAATTAAAAGACAATTGCTCCTTGGAAGAAAAGCTATGACAAACCTAGACAGTGTATTAAAAAGCAGAGACATCACTTTGTTGACAAAGTCTGATAGTTAAATTGGTTTTTCAGGTAATCATGTATGGATGTAAGAGTGGGACCATAAGGAAAGCTGAGCGCTGAGGAATTGACGCTTCCGAACTGTGGGGCTGGAGAACACTCTTGAGAGTCCCTTGGACTGCAAGATCAAAGCAGTCAATCCTAAAGAAAATCAGTCCTGAATATTCATTGGAAGGACTGATGCCGAAACTGAAACTCCAATACTTTGGCTGCCTAATGTGAAGAACTGACTCACTGGAAAAGACCCTGATGCTGGGAAAGATTTGAAGGCAGGAGGAGAAGGGGATGACAGAGGAGGAGATGGTTGGATGGCGTCACCAACTCCATGGACGTGAGTTTGAGCAAGCTCTGGGAGTTGGTGATGGACAGGGAAGCCTGGTGTGCTGCAGTCCATGGGGTCGCAAAGAGTTGTACTGAGCAATTGAACTGTAACAGGTATACAGAAAAGAAAGTCCAGCCACTCATGATGGAATCATCATGAGCGGACACATTAATGTAACCAGCATCAGAAGCTCCCTCCTGCCTCTCCAGATCCCAATACCCTCCCTCTAGTCCCAGGATCCTCACTACCTGACACCTCCCACCCCTGGCTGAGTCCTGCCTGCACTTGATCTAAACAAGACCACACAGTGTCTGCTCTTGGACGTCTGGCCTCTTCTGCTCAACACTGTATTCGTGGGCACCATCCTTGTTGTAGCTGCAGTTTGTTCCTTTTGACTGCTGTATAGTGTTTCATTGTAGAAAATGCCACCAGGGTTCACTGCTCTCTTGCTGGGGGAGAGGTGCATTGCTGGGAGACTGGAGAGAGAGCAGAGACGTTGGTATTAATCCAACAGACTTAGGTGCAAACCCTGCCCTGCATTTGTAGACTCAGCTGCCTTACTTAACCTCTCCCAGACTCTTTCCTTCTCTCTGATGGAGGTTCTGAAAGAAGTCACATCACAGGGTCCATGAGGAAAGCCCTGGAACAGAGCACAGAGGTGCCTGCTTGACAAACGTTCACTCTTCTCCTCTGGCTGCCAGTGGAGGAGAGGAATGTGAGAGTCCTCAAGGGACTAACCCAGGGGACCACAGAAAGTCCATCCCTTCCCAAAGCCTCTCCAGGCCTCTTGCCTGGCCGTGCTCTAATCTGGACCTTACTACTTTGTTCACGGGGCAAAGGGTTGACAAAGCCCCGTGGGGCCACAGGGAGGTCCCTGTCCCTTCATCTTCCCAGGGGCAGGCAGCTGGGGCCTGGGCCTCCCAGCTCTGGGTTCTTGGGATGTGGTGGGGGAGGTGCTTGGAAGCACGTGTCCTGGGCTGTTTGCCAGGCCCCAGGCCAGGACAAGGGCATGGGGCCTGGTAGCTGGGGGAAGGCTGGACTGAGACTGCTGGACATTAACCATACCCACGAGCGGGGTGGGGGAGAGGAGGAGGGGCGGAGAAGGGGCCTGGAGAGCTCAGGGCCTGGGAGCCCACGTCTCCAGAAGAGGCTCAGGCACAGCCTACCCTTTGGGGCACCCTGGGCCCCTCCCTCTTTTCTGTGAGCAGCCCTCCCTGCTCGCATGGGGCTGAGGCTTCTCCTCCAAAGCCCGTGTTTTCCTGGCCTCTTGCCACCTCACTTCATCCCCATCTGCTATTGCAGTATTTGATGCCATTGACCGCAATATCAAAACTGGAACTTCCGGAAATTCTTCCTTTTTGGCAGCTTTCATGGGTTAAAACATGGGTTTTGGAATGGAGAGACCCGCCCTGGAATCTTGGCTTCGCAGCCTTGGAGCTCTATGAACTTGAGCAGGTCACCCAGTTCTTCAGGCTTATTTTCTCACTTGTAAAACATTTGAAATAATAATAGCACCTCCCTTGTGACATTGTTGTGAAGGTGGAATGAGATTATACAGATAAGGCCCAACTCAGTGACTGGCCCCTTACTCCCTTTCCTGTTCTCTGTTCTGCTGCTGCTGCTGCTAAGTCACTTCAGTCGTGTCCGACTCTTGTGTGACCCCATAGACAGCAGCCCACCAGGCTCTGCCGTCGCTGGGGTTCTCCAGGCAAGAATACTGGAGTGGGTTGCCATTTCCTTCTCCAATGCAAGAAAGTGAAAAGTGAAAGTGAAGTCGCTCAGTCGTGTCCGACTCCTAGCGACCCCATGGACTGCAGCCTACCAGGCTCCTCCATCCATAGGATTTTCCAGGCAAGAGCACTGGAGTGGGTTGCCGTTGCCTTCTCTGTTCTCTGTTCAGTTGACTGCAATTCATATTCTCTAAGTGTGGGCCAGGCCCTTTGGAGACAATAGTGAACCAGATACGGGCTCTGCCCTCAGATGGTCCCCAGCCTAGAGATGAAGACCACTCCTGTGGGCAGTACTGTCACAGGGGCTGCCATGCATAGAAGTGGCATCAGCCTGGGGTGTCCAGGGAAGGCTTCCTGCAGCAGTGTCACACCTATCACTTCCTATCACATCATGGCACTCTTAATAACTTCTCATCAAGTGTTTGTCTTTTGTCTGCCTCTGGAATGTCGGTTCTGTGATAAGGGAGTCCTTGTTCACTTTGTTCACTGTGTGTCTAGAACAGTTCCTGAAACACAGTAGGGGCTGGCAAACATTTGTTGAATAAAGTAAGCTGTATCCGTAAGTGGAGGCCTGTAAGAGAAACTGTGTAAACTGGGACCCCCAACAGATCAAGACTTGAACCCACATGTTGGGACTCCAACTCAGCCAAAACGCAGACCGGGACTTGAGACCGTGGTCTTATGACTGTGATCACACACCAGGTTTAGGGGCTTAATGAAGCTCAGGTTCTTGATGTCTCATCACAGAAAGAATTAAGAGAAAGACAAAGTGATAGGTAAGAAGCAGACTTATTTAGAGAGAAAAACACTCCATAAACAGATTGTAGGCCATCTCAGAAGGAGAGAGCGACCCCAGCGTATGTGGTTGTCATTTTATAGGAGTGGGTAATTTCATAGGCTAATGAGTGGGAGGAGTATTCCAGCTATTTTGGGGATGTATGTATGTGTATGTGTGTGTGTGTGTTCAGTCGTGTCTGACTCTTCGCAACCCTATGGACTGTAGCCGGCCAGGCTCCTCTTGTCCATGGAATTTTCCCGGCAAGAATACTGGAGTGGATTGCCATTTTCTTCTCCAGGGGATCTTCCTGACCTAGGGATCAAACCTGTGTCTCTTGGGGAAGGGGTGTGGATTTCCAGAAACTGGACTAACACCTACTTCTTGACCTTTATAGTCATCCTTGAAACAGTCATGGCACCTGTGGTTGTGCCATTTAGCTTGCTGATGGGTTACAATGAGCATATACCCAAAGTCTAGTGGAAGTCAACTTGTCCACCATATTGAACCCATTTGGTTCTAATGGTTGTGTCATGTCCTTTGGCT